CCCCAGCTGCCCGGCCCGGGCCTCACCCATCTCCTCGGGGCTCAGACACTGTCGCTGCGCCGGGCTGTACTCCGCGGGGGGCGTGCAGGCGCAGCGGTAGCCGCCGCGAGTGTTCTCGCACACGCCGTTCCTGCAGTTGGACTCGTCCAGACACTCGTCCACGTCTGCGGGGAGGAGCGCGGTGGCAGTGGTGGGCCAAGGTAGTCAGGCCTGGGGCTCCTCCCTCTCCCCACTGCCTCCTGGGTGCGGCTCACCCACGCACTCCAACAGGTTCCCGTCATAGTAGAAGCCCTGCTTGCAGTAGCACTCGTAGCCAGGCTGCGTGTTCACACACTTGCCCTCCTTGCAGATTTCAGCCCCGAACAGCATGCATTCGTCGATGTCTGCAGGGTGACAGCCGTGGGTGCCCCACCGCCTCTACCTCCCAGGCCGCTCAGCTCGCAGCCGGGAGGTGTGGACAGGGCTCACCCTTCACCCGGAGAGCGAAACAAATCCAGCCTGCAAAGCGATCCCCGCCACTACCGGAGTGATGAGGCAGAGCGTGCGGGGGGAGCGGGGCAGTCAAGAGGGCGTAGGTCTGGCTTGCAGGTCGACCCACAAGTGGGCAGCAGCGACCAAACCCGGGGCGGGGCGGGGCCAGAGGGCAGAGATGTGCCCGGACTTACCGCGGTGGGCTGGGATGCCATAGTTGACAATATTGTTGTCCTGCGTGTATCCCTTTCCATCGGGACAGAGGCTGTGGAACTCGGCTGCGGGGAGACAGCGGTGGAAGAGAGGGAAGCAGGCAGGACTGAGAGTGGCCTTCAGGCCATGGAAGGCAGACAGGGACTCTCCACCTCATTTCCCAGCTACCCACGGGAGGAGCATTTCTCCTGGTTAGTTTCCAGATAAACCAACCCAGGCTCTAGGAAGGGGCCTGCCCTGGCTGCTGACCTGAGCTGTAGACTGGGCATGGGTAGATTTCACAGTGGTCTCCCCAGCCGGCCCCCAGGGAGCAGCAGCATTCCTGCTGGGTGACGTTAGTGGCTAATACACTGTCGCAGAACACCGTGTCATCGAAGTTAAGGTAGCACTCCTTCTTGTGGTGTGGCTGCTCTACCTCTGAAGAAGGAGGTAGCTCAGGGTCATGCAGACAGACGGCATCCCCTTCCCTGTTTGTCCACTGTATCACTCTGGCCCCCACCTTCCGTCTCCCTTTAGTGCTTCATGATAGGTAGGCTCCCCCCAGGTGATGATCAGGGCCCTTAGATGTATGGCTTCACCAGACTCCCCCAGGCAAAGGGTATATTTCTTGTTCTGCAAATTCAGGAGAGTGGGACCACGACACATTTCTGGATGCCAGCTTCAGCGCAGGGCCCTTGTCTGTCTATTCTGAGGCAGGAACTGCAGAAACACTTACCCTCACAGCCATGATGGTCCTGGGTGGGTGTGAAGCCCTCATCGCAGACACAAACATAAGAGCCCTGCAGGTTCTCACAGGCCCCGTGGGGCAGGCACAGGCTGGGGTCTTGGCTGCATTCATCTATGTCTGCAGGGAGTGGCTCTAATGAGGCCCAGCCCCTCTTTCCCTGGAATATGCCCCCGCAGTTTCAGACCCTAGATTTCTACTTTGATTTTAAAGTACACACAACTTAAGTTCTCTGGAGTCTGTATGGGTAGGTGGGAGCACATTCACTTTTGTCATCCTTCATTAAGACCTTCAACATGCCCAGTGTCAGCCAAATGAAGTCCTCTCAGCTTGGCTTTGAGGACCTTTTGTTTGGTTTTTCAATACCTTTTAGTCTATACTGTTACTCCAGCCCTGACCACAAAAATGTCCAGTTTCTAAAAGCAAGCTGCTTCCAGATCTGTTTTGTCACTTCTCCCCACCCCACCCACCCACCTCCGTACTGGGGATCAAACTCAGAACCTTGCCCTTGCTAAATCCCTGACCCGAGATCTATTTTGTAAATGCTGTTTTGGGGGTAGAATACCACCCTGTGCCTTTCTCTGCCTAGGGAACTCCTACTCTACTCAAGTCCCAACTCAATAGTCACCTCCCCATTTACCACTCCCCCAGACTTTCTTGGCACTCCACACCCCAAACCCTGAGAATCAGTTTACATTTTTCCCTACGTGAGCTCCAGTTTCCTATTAAATACTTGCTGTACAGCACAGAATCTGGCAAACACAGTATTGGGTGGTCAGTTAGCTCTTGTTGATGGATATGGGTATGGTTGAGTTGATGAGTTAGATCGATCTGTAAAGAGCTGAGTAGAAAGCTGGGTGTAGTGGTGCACGCCTATAATCCCAGCACTCAGAAGGCTGAGGCAGGAGCAACAACTCTAGTTTAAGGCCAGCCTGAGCTACATAGTGAGTTCAGGGCCAGCCTGAATAACAAAGTGAGACCCTGTCTAAAAAAAAAAAGCAAGAGCTGAGCAGAATGACTTTGAGTAGTAAGTAATTACTACTCTTTAGACAGGGGAAAGAGTGGAAGAACAAGTGTAGGATGGATGAGGGAAGGCAAAAACACAAAAAAAGTCTATAGTGTGTTTAGGGGATTGCTATTCCCTGCCTCCCGCTCAGGAGTCCTCAGGCCATCCTCATACCTTGGCACTTCCTGCCACCCACCAGCCGATGCCCCTGAGGGCAGAGACATTGGTAGGAGCCATTGGTGTTGATACAGTCACCCCCAATGCAGGCCGCAGGAAAGTCACATTCGTCAATGTCTGTGTAGGATGGAGCAGGTGGAGAATAGCAAACACACACAGCCTGAGCCTGCCAAAGCCCCCAACCCTCCAGCACAGAGCCCTGGGTTAATCCGGCACCCCATACCCCATCTGGGATCTGGATGAGGACTGGATCTAGGCAAGCATTCTGGAGGAGGAAGGGGCAAGCCAGTGCCTGGGCTCTAGAGCCCCTCACCCTCACAGTGGCTCCGGTCCCTTGACAGATGGTAGCCAGAGAGGCACTGACACTGGAAGGAGCCTGGTGTGTTGGTGCAGATGCCATTATCACAGACGTCCCCAGCCTCACACTCCTCCACGTCTACAGGGTACAGGGGGTATCAGAAGCCAGGGGTCGTCTCAGGCCTCTGCTACCCTTTTTTGAGTTGCCTGAGGCCTAGAGACCCAAATGGAGGCCAACAGAGCTCAAGAGACCCTCACCCCACTCTGTGTGGCACACCATGCCCCAGCAGCCACAGCAAGTGTTTCCAGCGTTCCTGGGCCAGGTCTGATGCTCAAGAGCTCACCAGGTAGGATGCACTCTCCTCTCCCTGTTTTCTCCCCACACCGCCTCAGGCTTGCTCAGCTCCTCAGATGATGTCTCCAGCAGAACAACCCACAGGGACCACCCCCTGAACTTGCCCTCCCCCAAATGTGCAGTGTCACCCACTGAATCTCCAAACCAGAACCCTGGAGGGTCTGTCACTCTCTTCTCTCTTCAGCCAACAATTGACTGATTCTAATATTTCTCTAACATCAGACAATCTCATGGCGATCCTGAGGCCACTGCTTTTATCCCATCCACCCATTCTTCATTGTTAATTCCTACTGGTCCCTTTAGACAACCCAGACCTCCTCCCTCCCAGTCCATCCAGGCCTCCGGCCCTGTCTTTACAGTCTGTCTTATGTTCCCCAGTTTCTCTGATCCCAACCCTGGGCCTGTCTCTTGATGCAGAATAAACATCAGTGCAAGAGGCACTACTCATGCCGCCAAATCATCGACCTTTCTTCCCTTCAAACTTAAGTAACATGTCTACAAGAAAAATAAATAAATAAAAGAAATAAAAGAACAAATTTAAGTAACAGGCTTTGCAAACGCAGCCTCAAGCCTTGTCTCCAAGACCCTGCCTGGAAATTCTGCCTCCCCTTCTCTGAGCAATGGTTGAGTTGGCATCAGTGAGCTGGGGATGAATTAGTGGCCTCCCACCCAGCCATTTCACAGACAGGATGGTCCAGTCCACACAAAAGCTGGGGGGTGGCCTGAGGGGCCAGCGGGAGCTCACCCACACAACTGCGGCCATCTGGCGCGGGCGTGTAGCCCTGGGCACAAGTGCAGCGGAAGGAGCCCGGAAGGTTCTCGCACCAGCCGGGAGCGCAGGGACTGCCCTCGGTGCACTCGTTGATGTCTGCAGCAGAGATGGTTCGCTTCAGACCCTACCCTCACGATGTGTGTGGGGGGTGGATCTCCTCCGCCTGGAGTTCGGGGGCGCCCATCTGCTCCCAAGAGGCCCCACCCTTCAGGCGCCTCTCGCCGTTGCTATCCCCACCGACCCCGCTGCCGGATACGGAGTCAGACCCGGACCCACAGAGTTGGTATCACCTGGAAGGCCCCGCCCATCGCCCTTCAAGGCCCCGCCCTCACCGCGGCAGGCCCCGCCCCCTTGGCTGCGGTAGCCGGGCTGACACGGGATGCACTTGAAACTCCCGGGTTTGTTCTCGCATTTGCCATCAGGGCAGGAGCTGGGGTCCCGGCATTCATCGATGTCTGCATGGGAGGGAGAAACAGGAGGACCGTTCTGGACACAGCGTGGCTGGCCAGGAGGCGCTCCTAGTCCTCAGCAGGGCCTCCTTCGTCACAAATCGACCAGGCTAACCGGCCCTCTGGGATCTGAGACTCCAACCTGAGAGGTTTGGAGTTGAGCCGAGATGAGCGCAAACCTCCCGCCCCATACCAAGTCGAGAGACAGCTGAGAACGGCCTGTGCTCTGGGTGGGCCCCCACCTTCGCACACGGGCGGTCGGGAGGCTTTGAGCCGGTAGCCCGGGTAGCAGTTGCACTTGTAGTGGCCAGGAAAGTTGATGCAGAAGCCTCCGTCGCCGCACACGTGGGGCTTGGCGCACTCGTTCAGGTCTGAGCAGAGAAGGGGTGCGCGGGGTGGTGTGGTGGGGTTGGTTATTCCCGGGAGGCGAGCCTG